AGTAGCAGCAAAAAAGGCAAGCAGATTCATGAGGACAGGAACAGAAGAGAAGCTACAGAACCAGAGCTTATTAACAGCAACAGTGCAAGACAACAGGACCAGTCTACAAGGGAATTGATTAATGAAACCTGAGGGACACACACAAAAACAGGTTAACAAGGCACTGGCCTTGAGATCCTAGAACTGCAGCTTGGATCAGCTGTTCACAGCAATATTCCTGTCATCTTCTATCACACAGCATCCTATATTCTGCTTAACAGCAGGGATCTGAGGAAGCAGTTCAAGAAACCCTGTGGCACCAAGATAAGAACCTTACTACCTTCCCATACAAATTCGGAAGATATTACTGAGGCCAGGAAAAAGGCTGCATAATGTTATTACAGGAGAGGAAAGGTTATTTAAGTGATGCATCTGGAGAGATCCAAAACTTCATCTTCTGTGAAGAATCTCTTTTTCAAAGAGAAATATTCTCTTTTCCATTCCAAAAATTCATCTTCTGTGTCACCCATGTGACTGGTTCTGTTCCAGTAAAAGGATTTCTAATGGAGATAGTGGCAGAGGACACCTGTCTTATAGCAAGGAAGCTGTGTTAAGCATCCACTCTACTTAAATCTTCCAGCTCTGACTATAAAAATTCCTTTCAACCTAAAGTTTAGCAGGAGAACTGTCAATGTCATATCAGACAATATAAAATATTAAAAAGAGAAAAAGTGACAGTTGCCATGCAGTGCCTTTACTTACATCATTGTTACATTGGAAGAACAACCTCCTTTATTTTTTCTTATTTGAAGTACTAATGACAAAAATTTAAAGCCTGCCAAACACTTATACTTGTGAGCAACTTTAATCCTGTGAGTACTTCCACTGGAGAAACAGAACTACTAATGACAGTAAGTACCTGTCACTCTTCCAGCACTAAGTGACAGACACAGGAACTACTGAAGGAAGTGATACCTGTACAGGAATCAGCTGAGATCTCCTGCTCTTAACAGACTTTTAAAGTGTGAGCAAAGAGCTACTCAACACACAAAGCAATCACACAGCAGCAAAGAGAGAACCGTTTTCCTTTTCTCTGATTATTTTTGCAGCAATAATAATCACTGGCATTACTAAGAAGAGGTACAAAAGTGTTAAGGCAGAAACATAGTTTGAAGAATGCCCCTTTTAAGATAGAGAAAAGCCCAGAACAGTTAGATATATGTTGCATACATTTTTGCAGTCTTAAAATGACCAGGTAAAAACTGCAAGAACCGATCTTGAAGTTTCAATTCCTCTTCCATAACCTCATACAGATATTTCAACAGCTGCTTGCTACTTGATAGTTCACAGTTTTCATGGTCTTAGCACAGAGATAAGCCTGAGGCTTTGGCTCTGCAGTTAGATGTATGTAGAGATGTCAAGGCTAAAGTCAGAAGTGAACTGCCTTTGAACAGAAACCAAAGGCTGAAGACATATCACAGCTTGAGTTGATTAAAAGGCTTGAAATTTATTATGAAAAAACAGTTTTTGCTTTCAAAATACCTCTAAATGTTCTTTATTGAGGTTTTCTCAAAGCTAGAAACAGAAGTCATGCTTTGCTAAAACAGATTTTTTTTAAAATTGGTCTGTTTGTACACAACTGCCAGCTGTAGCCCAATCAGTGGGTGCCAGAATAGACATCCCACTACAGAATCCAAATGGAGGTTGTACAAACAATGCTCTGTCACAATGGGGGAGGCAAAGGCTTGGCCTTGGGTAACTCAGACCATCAGTTTTCTTCTGCCCTAACTCCCTCCTGTGTCCTAATTTACAAGGCTCCTTTGTTACTCTGTAGAGTGGATACTTTACAAGAGAGAAAAATCTGCCTTGTTCAAAGTTGCTTTCCAGATGTGAAGAACCAACTCCCCACATCAGCCTACATCAAGACTTCTGTTTCTCAGTGGGATATAATCTTAAGTGAAAAAAATCACATCTTCCTTGGTGTGGTTAGTGCCATAAAAATAAATTAAGACAACAGGGTTCTCAGAATCAGGAAATCTTCACATTCTTCTGAGAGATTCTGATTTAAATTCAGAATGTGGCTTCATAAAGGAAAATTATACCTGCAGTTTTCTTTGAAAACATTCTCAGCTCTGTTATAATAACTGTGGTAATGTGAATTGAATGCAGAAAAATACATTTTATAGTTGATTATTCACCAGGTGCTAAAACACCAAATTATCTACATGACATATGCACATGCTGGAGTGACTTCATTTGTTATAATGTGTAACTTCTCAAGAAGAACAGCTTTAGATGATCTGCACTGCTGAATCCCAGAAATGCAATCTGCTTTGTCATTATTTAAGAAGTACATCCAAGAATACACATGTGAATTATTTGTAAATATGCCTGACTGACTTGCTTTATTTTTAGCCCAACACTTGGGCTGTGTCTTGTGGCAAGCTTGTGCAGTGGTGATGTACCATACTGAAGTCATTAAAATGGCATCTGAAAGTTTTTTCATGAACACAAGCCAAAGTCAATATCTCACCAGCTAAATAATTCATTTCATAATTATAGCAAATATTTAATTTTCAAACAAATATCTTTTTGCTCTCTCAAAATAAACAGCACAAGTTAACATGATGGTTCACAATTAATAAGGACCCAGGAGAAAACCTCACACAATCAGTACTTTTCATCTACATATTTATGAAATGTTATCAACTATTCATGTAATATTTACTACTGGGAGTGGTGAATACAACAATCATCCCTGCTGGAGAACTAGTCAGTTTTTTTTAAAATGTTGCAAGCAGCATAATTCAATTCTAAAATTGTTATATAGATATTAAAGGACATTTTTAGGACGTGAATGTTCTAAATGGCATGAACATTGTTTTCAATTAACTGAATCAAAATTTTCCTAACTGATCAATCCCCATACTCTTCTTTGGAAACCTAGACTTAGAGCCACAATGTGAATCACCCTGAAATTCCCAAGAGATACCACATCTTACAGAAACCTCTCTCTGATGCAGTAGTTACCTAGCAGCAAAACCTAGCAACCCTGTAGTATGAGATTAATCCCAGAGTGATCGTCATGAAGTAATATCTAAAGGATATTTTATTTAAGTATGCCATCCACAGGTATATAAAAATGCAATGCAGAAATCCTCAGGCTTTTAGCTGTTCAGCTACACAAATTGGAAAAGACTACCTAACAGCACAACAAGCTATTTGTTTTCAGCAAGGTCTCATTTGCTCAGCTCTTCCAAAAAAGACAGATAAAACCGCCCAGATTTACAAAAGGATGCACATGCCTTTTAGATGTAACTAAGATATGCAAAACCCTTCTTTAGCTACAGTTTAATGTTTCAGCAATGAAATCCCTTAGTCCCTACTGCTAAACTGTAAGTGCAAAGTTTTGGAATAGGCTCTGCTCAGCTGCTTGGAACCAAAGTCCTATAAGGGCACTCAAACTAAAAACTGCCTCTCCTTTCTCTTTTACAACATAGTAAGCATTTCCCAATCTCTTTAGTGTGACCAGGACACACACAAAGACAGCCAGGCATAAGCTCTCCTTGTTGTGAGCTGTCCATTTGCATTTACCCTACCCTCACCTGAGAGGAAGGGGATTACTCTCAAAGACTGGTACTAGGGTGCCAGGAGAATAAAGAGAGAATGTGGCACCTTCCCTGAGGAATGGGATGTCCTTGCCCCAAAAAAAGGAACAGGAAAAGCTGGAACTAGGTTTCTTACCTCCTCAGTAAAACCCTACTGCACCCCATGACATCTGTTCTGTCTGGGGTGGTTCCCCACACAGCTGACTGGGAACCTACATGCTTCAGTGTATGGCTGAAGACTCCACCAGGTGAATGGCACTTAAAACATTTGTCGCAGCAACACTCTGCAAAGTTCCTTTCCAAATATAGTCTAATCCCTCCCTGAGCCTTCACTTCGTTTGTTTAGCATGCTCTGATTCCACTGAGAGCTGCATACACACTTCTGAAGGTCAGCATGGGTCTGGGCAGCTTTTAGAGCCACTGCTCAGGCACAACAGTACCAAAATCTCTGTGCGTGCCCTAAAACTCCTATCATGCAGACAAAGTTTAGAACTGTGCAATAGAAAGAGAATCAATCCACATCTTTACTGAAACTCAGTATTTTCCCCTCAAACTAAATGTTAGACTTTCCAAAAGTATTTGTGCTTGTGCATTGAAGAGTGTGGTTGCCTACTGCATAAAAATGCTTTGGTATCCTTGGGTAAGATGCTAAATTAAAAGCACCAAAAACCTGCAGTCTTACTGTTAAAAGAATAGAGGAGCATGAGCTGAAGTGCCAACTTTCCTGCTTTGCTTTAATTACATAGAACAAGAAAAACCATCCTCTAGTGGGAAAGGGAGAAAGGATACTTAAACCTTGCACCACTTAAGCTCTCACTTATGGGACTAATGAAGGGAGTAATAAGGGTGTGGACAGAATCTGAGTCAGATTCTTGCTGAACTGCCATGTGACAATAACAGGCGTCACCAAACCAGAAGATTAAATTGGACCGGGAACACTGGCAGGAAGGAGCTCTGGTATATATCCCTGGGTTGCCAAGTCATATATATAACTATAAAAAATACATAATGGAGTATGACAGTGCTTTTAAGAGAATGGTTTGACCACAGTGATAAATAAGAAGCCAGAAAGAAAATAAATGTTCTGGTGGCTCTTGTCCTTCAACACAAACAGGAGCTTTATCCATGCCACGAGCACTCCCGGTGTGCAGCCCATACACACCCTGGCAAGCCACATTCTGAAACCCCCACACTGCCAGAAATGCCTTTGGAATTCATCTGCCAGTGAGGGACTACAACCAATAGTGCTGCAAGATTTGATTTTGCTTCTAATTGTTATATACTGAACTATTATAACACTGAATTTTTCTCATATCCACAACAGGCACTCTGTTATAGCCAGTTCTGACTACAATCAGCAATTGATTCTAAGCACTTCCTGCAAACACAACTGAGTCATTAACATCTGCTTACCTTAAATCTTTCTGAAACCCCTTCAGTGATGCTGATTGTGAATTCAGCTATTTTAGGAGTACGGAACTTTCCCTTCTTGCGATCAGGTTCATATTCTGTTTTTGTTTTGACCACAACCTTTAAGGAAAAGAATCAATCACAAAACTATTAACAGTTTAGCTGGCCACAAAAACCCAAATTATTCTTTAACTCTTCTTTTATCTGCTTAGAAGTATATCTAGCACCATCCTTCCCCTCCCCGCTTTCCAATTCTTCTTTGAGAGCTCTAAATTATTAAATTAAATTGTATCAATCATCAACTTACCTCTAAAAGTGGTTTTGATGGACCTACAGCAAGACTGGTTATGCAAGAGTTTCACAAAGGTTCAATTTTTTCATCTGTGGTGATACTATGCTCTTATACTAGGCAAGGATAGGTCAAATCCAAATCATGGACCTCCCCACTTTGTATAGTTTGAAAATAGCCACCTCCATTTGCTTCAGGAAATTCCATTAATGGGACCTCAAACTAGACACCAACAGAAGATTATTGAAGAGTACCCATAAAATTCTTGCAGATGATGATGCCATGTTCTTTGATGGCAGGATTTTGAGCTTAAAAAAAAAGTGAAATAAACCATGTTGTCTAGTTGCTATTCACTGTGTGATAGACTAAGGCCCTTAGCACTCATGTTTTTAACATCCAATTTCTGAATTACCAGCTACAAGCAGCAAGATGCACACAAACCCTTGTGTTAATGAGATTGCTTCAAACACCCAAGGTTCTTCAGTTTATTCCTTGCTATGAACTACTGCTCCCAGCTACACAATTTAGCACCTTACCTGTATTCCCAAAATATTCATTACGTCAGTCGTATCTCTAGTGTTCTCCAAGGCATTCTAATCATACAAAATTTTCACATCCCTAACCTATTTGCCTCATTTTTGTCTTCTGCATTTTTCAGGAACTTTTCCCAAGTATTGTTCTCAAGCTAGGGTACAGTTTATTGTAGTGATGGTGCTATTACAATTTGCTCCATTTCCTCTGTTTTTCCAAGGAAGAAACATCTACTCTTTTAGATTTTTAAGAATCAAATTCTATCTTTTGCACAGCCCACAGTATTAATAGCAAATACATTAATCACAGAAAGGCCTGGGTTGGAAGGTACCTTAAAGATTATCTTGTTCCAACCCCACGCCATAGGTAGGGAACCCTTCCACTAGACCAGGCTGCTCAGAGCCCCATCCAACCTGGCCTTGAACACCTCCAGGGATGGGGCAGCCTCAGCTTCTCTGGGGCCTGTGCCAGGGCCTCAGCACCCTCACACTAAACCAGTAAAGTTTAAAGCCATTTGTCCTGTCACTGCATCCCCTTGTAAATAGTCTCCATCTTTCTGAAACTGAAGATGGTGACACTTCAGGTAGCCAGACACTGAAATGACAGACTTTGGGTTCCCTTCTTCTCACTTTCCTGAATGTTACCTAGAATGTGTAACTGTACCTAGACTCAGTACCATAAAGTTTATTAGACACTTTCATAGCATTACACATTTTTGTTCAGGACATAGGTAAGTAAAAATTACTTACTTATTTTCAGCTATAATTAGTAAGATAGTAGTTATTACCTATTTAACGTTATAGCTGCCCAACAATATCATGGAAGTTAACTGCCCAGTGATTTCTGGAATGCTTTTTAACATCTTATCTCCCTTCCTCCCCCTTTATGTTGCATAATCTCAGGCAACTCAAATCACATTCAGCTGACACTGAATGTACAGTTCTAACTGCTTGGTTATGTAATGTCTTCTTTTGTTTAACATATCTAAATATGAATTTAAATCACTTCATCCCTTTAATTTAGAAACTGTCAAAATCATCAAATCCTTAGCACTGTAGTCACTACTGTTCAAGAAGTTATGCTTCACTGCCATGCTGGAGCCTTGCAAGGGAATAATAAGCATAGCTATATGAAGCATGTACTCCTATTCATTATACATGAGTCTCTGCATACTTGAGAATTTGATCTGTGTGTCAATCTTTTCTTAATAGTGTTTCTTTTTTTCACATCAGATGCTCTGCTCCTGCCTTTGAGTCTCTAGCAACCAGTAAAGAGACACTGACATGACTAACCAGTTACAGAAGGACACCAGCAGGACCAATAAATTTAATTTTCGCCCTCTATGTTTGCAAAAGGAAAAGAAAGCTAATATACAATTGGACAGTGGAGAGTAGAAGAACCAATCAAATATTCCTTTATTTAAGTTTCTAGCTTAGCTGGACATTTGCTTTCATTCAAGGCAAATGCCATCCGGGTGGGAGGAGTTCTGCCCCACTCTAGTAGGAGCAAAGGTGCTGGCACAGAAGCCCTTGGGTTCAGTACAGAGGCTCTGTTCAGGTTAAAGCTATTACCACACAGATCTCTCATTCAGACTTGTGCTTAACAGTGCAGGAACAGAACAAATTCCTTTGGTCACTGCTCCTTGGTAATCGGTTACATCCTGTCACCAGCTGGCAGATGTATCAGACACGGTAAGACTTAACTTGTTCTAAAGCCTTAGGGTGTGATTTTGTCCTCAGCTACGAGATTTACACCCATGTAACTGAGGGCATAAAATGGACCCTCAGGCTCCTGAACAGCTGTTATGGCTTATTGCATTTATGCCTGCCAACTGGTCACCCCACACAACACAGAATGGTGTTGATAGCAATTGAAATGGAGGTCACACATTTATTTGTATTGCTTACAAGCAACATTGTACTGAGGAAAAATTTACAAGCTAAAATTCTTTACCCTAAGTTAAGATTATGTGAATTTTTTTGAGGTTTGAGGAATGTATAGTTATCAGTTTAACCAGAAGTAGAATTCAGCTTCTGGAAGACACAAAGTCAAAAATAAAAACTGTATGAAGATCACAAAGCTTTTTATTACCAGATGCATGTGGTAAATTACAAGTAAGAATCCTATTAAAACAGGATACTGCAAACCCTGAAAAACCCTACTTCTGTGTGCCTCACGTGTAGTAGCACCTACTGAATTCTTTATTGTGAGGACAATAAACATATTTACAGGCTCTCAAATCACCTTCCTAAATCTTTAAAATTAAATTCCTAATAATCAAAGCACTTAATGAGGAATGCAGGAAGCACATTTCCCTTCCAACCTGTAAGCAGCTCACTGGACTGACCCCTTCCAGCTACAGAGAATATCTGAATCACCTATTTGGAGGTTTTTGAACAAAATAAATTGCCAAGGAGAAAACTCAATGGCCTGTTCTCATCTCATTGTTTCAGCTTGTCTGGGGTTAGCATTAGTTTCTTACTGAAGCACAGAAGGAAAATGGAAGTGCCCTCCATTGCTAGTATGCCCATGCCCATCTTACAGAGAAATAAGGCTCTATTCCCCCAGCAGGGGGGCATTTTCTGGACAGAGAAAATTAGTATTATTCACAGAGACTACACAGGACCTTCCAGATACAAGAAAGAAAGATACAGAATAGGAAGGGTTATGACAATACAGCATAGAGTAACTTGCATTTGTATAGTATATGTTTCATATAGCAACACTGAAACCTCTACATGCTTATTTCTAACATTTCACACTGATTTTTAATGCAAACCACCATTAATGGATTTTCATGAGCTTAGCTGTTTGGGTTTCTCCCTAGAGGAAACAAGCATGCCTTGAAACAGCCCATATTCTTTGTCGTTTCTAAGCTGCTCTTTACCCATAACCTATTCTTTTGTTGTTTGCCTGAGATTTGCCTGTGATTCTCCAGGGTGGAAACTAAAGCCTACTGTACCTTATCAGGAGGTGGGAACTGGAGCTGATTGACATCCAGGGGTGTGATCAGGGGGATGGTGTCAAATCCATCCTCCAGAAGGGGCTGCTTTGTGCTCTTCTCGCTGAAATTATTCCCCAGTTTCACCATTCTTCCAGGATAGAGGGATTTTCTGCTGGCACACACAGGCACACACGCACAGAAATGCAAAATATCAGAAACCAGATTTTTTCCCAGCCCTCGGGGGACCCGAAATACCTTCTGGAAAAAAAAAAAAATTAAAAAAATAATTATGTATTGGTCGCTACGACTCGGTTAGAGTATTAGCATTCTGGGAAGTTCGAACGATGACCACCAGAGCTTCTACTATCAAAATGAAAAAAAAAAAACCCAAACCACGGCGCACGCAAAGCAGCACCCAAACCCCGACACGCCAGCCCGGTGCGGCACCACCCGCGGCATGCGGAGGGCTCGGGATGCGGAGCCCCA